CGGCGACGCCTCGACTCGCCAAGCTTCTCGCCGCTTCCACCTCTGCGCACCATTGCTTTCCTTTGCTCTCGCCCTCTCCGACGACATCATGGTCGCAACTGCGACTGAAAACCCCGAGTCTCGGCACTCTTCCGAGAAGACGCTTCCCGACAACAGCACAATGACGACCACCACAGCAGAGCCGTTGCCACAGCAGGGTGACAGTCTGCAGGACACGACTGAAAAGCAGCATGACGCGACCAGCCAGCAGCCCGCAGAGCCAGAATACCCCGGCGCATTGAAGCTCACTCTGACAATGCTCGCGTTGTGCATTTCCATTTTCCTCGTGGCCCTCGACCAGACGATAATTGCGCCCGCTCTCGGTGCCATTACAAGTCAATTCCACAGCACCAAAGATATTGTAAGTCGCATTGTATTGGTAAAACATGTTCGGTTTCTAACAGTTTCCGTCTCCGGCAGGGCTGGTATGGATCTTCCTATCTCCTCACGTCGACTTGTCTGCAGCCGATCTACGGTGTCATCTACCGCCTCTTCAACGTCAAGTGGGTTTTTCTCACAGCCATTTTCATCTTCGAAGTCGGCAGCTTGCTATGCGCCGTCGCCCCTTCTTCCGTCGCCTTCATCGTCGGTCGCGCTATTGCCGGCATGGGCACGGCCGGTCTGTTTTCCGGCGCCGTCGTGATTCTCTCCTACACTCGTACGTCCTCCGCTCCTCTTCCCCAAGTCGCCCGTACAGCCACTTACATGGACCGCTCTAGTTCCCCTCTCGAAACGCCCTCTCGCCTTTGGTCTCATCGGCGGCATGTGGGGCATCGCCTCCGTCGCCGGTCCGCTGCTCGGCGGCGCGTTTACCGATAATGTCACCTGGCGCTGGTGCTTCTACATCAACCTCCCCGTCGGCGGCCTCGCCATGGCCATAGTCATGTGGGTGGTCCACATCAAGCGCAACACCAAATTCTCCCAGGGCCTCTCCGTCGTGCAGCGCATCTTGAAGCTCGACCTCATCGGCAGCGCCATCTTCATCCCGGCCATCATCTGCCTCCTCCTGGCGCTGCAGTGGGGTGGCGCCGACTATCCCTGGAGCAACTCGCGCATCATTGGTCTTTTTGTCGGCTCCGGTGCCATGCTGGTTCTATTTCTCGTTATCCAGTGGTGGCGTGCGGAACAGAGCACCTTTCCGCCATTTTTGTTTAAGAACCGAAGCATCGTCGCCGCCATGTCATTTTGCTTCTTTTTCGGGGCTGGATTCTTTCCTTTGATCTACTACCTCTGTAAGTCTATCCGGGTGTGCAGTATTAGTGATTCGCAGCTAACCATTTTAGCCCTGTATTTCCAAGCAATTCAGGGCGTGAGTGCCGTCCAAGCTGGTATCAAGGTTCTCCCTCTCCTACTCGCCACCGTCATCTGCTCCATTGCCTCCGGTGGGTTGGTTTCGCGCTTTGGCGTGTACAAGTATGTCATTGTACCGTGTATGGCGCTCTTCTCCATCGGCGCTGGCCTCATCACCACTTTCGACGTCCACACTCCACTCCGCGAGTGGTTCGGCTACCAGGTTCTCGCCGGTCTCGGCATCGGTGCTGGGTTTCAAATTGGCGCTATCGTTGTCCAGACAGTTCTTCCTCAGGAATGGATTCCTGTCGGCACCGCCTGTGTTCAGTTCTTCCAAAGTCTGGGAGGTGCAATTTTTATCGCCGTCGCACAGACAGTCTTCCAGAACGGCCTCATCTCTGGAATTGAGAGCGCCGATATTGGCATCGAAGACCCTCGTATCTTCATCAACAGCGGTGTTTCGCAAGCCAGAAATATCCTCGCCCAGATGCATCGTGAGGATGCTCTCCCACTCGTCCTCGAAGCTTACATGAAGGGTCTGCGTAACACCTACTACATTACACTGGCATGTGCGATCTGTGCGTTCCTCTCCGTGCTGGCTCTTGAAAAGAAGTCAGTCAAGGACAAAAACCAGAAGAAGGTTGATGTCGAGGCTACTGCGGCTTAACTCGGTTCGAGCATGATACCACTACCTGGCGTTGTTCACTTGTACTTTTGTGTAATATTTAGATTGTTAGATAGAGCGGGCAACAGATGGAGAAACCGGACATAACTCGACTCCATGCATTGATATGCTAGTAAATGTACAATTATACCCCATACCAATTTTCACAAAATACCACATGAAAAGTGAATGGCCTGTCTCTGGTCACGCAACAAACCTTACTACTGAGTATCTTCAGGTGGCCGATCCCACACTTTATGCTTGTTTTGGCCCTTGACTTCCGGGTCAGTGCCGACATACTGTATCACCCAATCCCGCACCACCTTTGTTTTGACTAGCTGCGGATTATCCGCCCCGTCTGCGGTCGCCGCCGCCAGCGCTTTTGAAGTATAAGAAGCCCGTGCGTCCTTCCTCTTGCTCCATAGCAGATGCACCTTGGTCTGTCCGCGCCGCAGGCTCTGGCCGTAGACCTTGCCGCGAAACACATGCAGCGCAACGTTCTGCAGCAAGATCACGTCCTGGCGGCGCAGGCTGAGCAAGTCGCCAGAGGCCGCTGCCTCTTTTGACAGCCAAAAGGTGACTGCGAAGCCGGATCTGGTGTCGTCACCGAGGAGCACCTCGACGAGGGAGAGGGTCTGGCCCCAGCGCGTCGTGACGGAGCGAGGCTGCGCGATGGATAGTATGCCGACGATTATGTTGAGCGTGACGGTCTGTGGCTGCAGCGAGATGACTTGCCTCGCAGAGGGGACGTCCTCCAAGTCGGAGAGATGGGCGGGGGGGATGTCTGCTGCCGCTGGTCGCGGCGGTGCGTCGGCAGCGTTGGTGGTGGTGGTCGAGGTGGAGAGAAAGGAAGTTTCGTCGAGGAACGTAGTGGCGGTGTTTTCACCGTCGTCTAGCTGGGAGGAAGGCAACGAGTTGTGGATTGCGAGTGATTGCTCACAAAACTCGCCAAAGGCGGCTTCGTCGGACTCGGGTCTGGCGGCGTCGTCCCCGCCGTGGGAGGACGTCAGGGACGAAGGGCAGAAGAAGCCGTCGTCTTTGTAGGCGCCATGAAAGGAAAGGTCTAGGAAGTTGTGCGCCTGGCTGAATCCAGTGTGCAGTGGTTTCCGATGTAGCGATAGTGATCGCCACATGGGCGCAATGCTCGCTGGCGAGGGGCGATGACTGCTGCTGCTAGATGCAGCATCATCGCCAGCCGGTTGGATGAATTCGCGAAACGGCTCGGCGAAATTTTGAATAGTGCATTTCTCCTCGTCTAGAAGAGATGGCGACGGCGCGCCAGCTAGGAGCAGGACTCGCGGAGGCATTTGGCACACTGTTCCCTCGCTTGTGTGGTGTCAGTCATGTTGTGGCGGGCAGCGGAGGACAGCCGTATTGTCTCGATGCGACGCAGGTTCTTGACTTGTTGGGATTCAGCTCACACGAGAGCCGTGATTTTGTACCAAGGTTGAGCATGACAGAATTAATGCATGGGGTTGTTTCGGAGAAGAAGCATAGCGTGAGCGCAAGCGCGGCACAGGCTGTGGAGGCTTCACGGTACTTGGCAGGCAGCGGGCTTCGCACGGGAGGGTAATCACATTTTTTGATGCGCGACACTAAACGAGCGTTTATAAACTCGATAAATTGTGCCAAGTTGACTCTGTATGCCTTGGGGAATAACTTTGTAAGATTTCAGGGATTGAATTGATACTAAAACCGTGTGTATCTTTGAGCCAACTGATGCCTGTCCCTCGGCTCGTGCAACAGCGCAGCGGACCACAATAACTACTTACACGATCCAGTAACTACCACTCAGAATCATTGTCTCTTCGTCATGGAAGTCGGATTCAACGGCACTGTTCACGTCAGTTTATTGCGATTAGCACTGCAAAGGTCAGCGAATGGCTCAGAGTCCATGGCTGCCTCTTCTTTTTCTCGACTTACCGCGCAGAGGCCGCCAGTTCTAGGTCTCTAAACATTGGACATCAGTAACAACTCTACGGTTTGGTCACAGATTTCAAGACTCACGCATCCCTACAAGTAAAAAGGTTAGTTTCTTGCGAAGAAATTTGTATGAATCTGGGACAGGAAATAACATACATTGCCAGAGCTGCCGCATGAGCAGCAGACATAGTTCGAGGGGCAGTTTGTGCCGTCAGCGCACTATCGGACAGCTTGTTAGTGACCTCTTTGTTCTTGCAAGACTATAACGACCGTGAGGTTTGCGTACTCGAGCTCGTCGTTCTAGCTCCGGGCCGGCGACCACGAGGGAAACGAGTGTAGCAAAGATAATTGTAGTGAAGCGCATTGTTGCTATAAAGATGAATGAGGGTTGTGCCTATTGCTTAGATGTCGGGGTAGTTTGCAAGCTATTCTCAGTTGCTGCAATTCAGCAGATGCCTGGTTACATTATGGCAATATTTATAGTTTGGATAGCCCTACCGAAGTCGGGCATGTCAAGACTGCTGATGACCCGGCCCGCCTCACCAATTCTTTCAGCTGCTCCCAGATCAGCACTCTCCAATGATGCCAAGACTCACGACTTCCAAGATACTACTCGCGTGACATTGCAGTTCTAGGAAGGTCGCAAGGGCAGCTACAAAGCTAGTTTGTGAATCAAGGCAACTGTGGCGGGCACTAGATCGTCTTATTGGATGCTCTGCGCCGCGCGCGACGTTCCGTGTTGGGGGGAAGGATTCGTAGAGTCCGCTGCGGCTGAATGCTTACAATCGCTAGTTACAACTTCACCCCGCATTTTAGCTCGCAAAGGCACTGCCAATTGCCGAGCTTCTTTACTGCGGGGGGGTTTGCCCTGCTTTGATGTATTATTAGATGTATTATTAGATGGTGGTGGTAAGTGACGAATCGCTTGCACAACACGTCTCATTGTGTGACGACGTAGTCGATATAAGATTTTGAGGTTGGTAAATATTTTAGCATCATTTATCTGTGACTAGGGTATATAAATAATGCTTGCTTCTCTTCTCGGTATGTGATGCCAGTCACAGCAGCATCATCTGGAGCATGCTTAGCCGCTCCAGCGAACCTTTTCCTCAGCCAGCGTCCTGTACAATCCTAGCGACAAGAACTCCTCCTCAGCCATGTATCCGCCAAACAGCCCCTCCAGCTCGCCATCAAACATTTTCGCAGCCCACGTCTTGTTTGACACGGACCAATCCGCGACTGGCTCCTCCAGTAGCGTTTCGTAAAAGTGTCTCATGGCGCAGCTTTGCTGCTCAGTCGTGCCCATGTACGTGCTGAAGCTCATAAACTTCGGCGCCCCGTCAACTTTGCGGGCAAATTCCGTCAAATCACTATCCTCGCTCGAATCTGAATCCGTGGCTTCAAATTGTCGAGAGCCCATCCTGTGCTTGTGCTTCTTGTTGTTGAGCCGACTCACAAAGCTTTTGCTCGCAAGGCGGTAATCCTCTGAAATGGCCGAGCTCAGTTCCTTCAGAGCATGCTTCATAGGAGGCAGATCCTTTTGATCGTCTGCTAGGTCGCTCTTGGGCAGCTGAATAAACTGCGCGAAAGCAGGCGCTGGATTCGCCAAGCCGAGACCGCCATATTCGACACCCATGTACAGGAAACAGTCTGGAACTTGGTCCTTGACATCGTCACCAAAGCGCTCTTTGATTGCCTTGCGCACATGATGGGCTACAGTCCCAGATGACCCCTCGCCGCTGTCGCTGCGGTAGAGATACCGTTGCGCGTGCTGTAACGCCTCCAATACCATGATGGGGTGGTCATCGCCCAGTCCAACAATCACAGGGCCGAAATTGTTGGGCAGAAAGTTTTTCATGTAAGCATTGTAGGCTTGCACATGTGACATGACCGATGTGCGCGTCTTTAGTTGGAATCGCAACTCATCCATGTGATCCTCAATCGCTGCTTTGTTCGCTGTCCACTTCCACTGCTTCTCATCAAACTGTAGGAAGCCCCATTTCACTTTCCCTGCAGGGAGACGGGCCAGGTCAAGCTCCGAGGCAGGCTTGTATCGGGGATTGGACTCGTCAACGGCGTGGGCGAACGCGGTTTTCTCATTGTTCAGCTGCAGGCCCATTATCTGGGTGAATTGACGGATCGTTTCCCACGCGGTCACGCACTGGGATGGTTGGCCCCAGAACCACAAATCATCGTGGTTTCGGTAGAGGTGCGCTCCGTTGGTGCTCTGGTTCACTGCAAAGTCCAGTACAAATAGCAGCAGCTCCGAGATACCGTCAGTGAGCTGAAATGACACTGGAATGCCAGTCTTGCGGGTCAGCACTGCTCCATCCTTGCCATCCTCCTGGAACTGTATGTGCATATCGAGAAACGATTTTGTGAATTGCACGAGTTCCTTAGGGAAGTGGAAATACTCCATTATCGTGGTGAGAGTTGAATGCGGGAGCGAGGGCCCAAACCACTCAAAGTCGCTCTGCAGTAAGCAAAACTGTCCGTGGACAATCTTTTGCACGCTCATTTCGGCAGAACAAACACGGAGAATGTCAGTTTTGAGGTTGACAACGTTGGGTGGACCTTCTTGAAGATCTGTCAGATTTTTCTGGACTTTATCCTCGGCGGCATCCGAGCCATCATCATCGTAGCGCCCAACTCCGCTGTTCTCATCGGTCATGCCCTTTGGCAGTCGCGGAGAAAAGAATATCTTTTTGTATATTTCGTTTCGTAGCACTCTGGTAGAGTTCAAGGTGTTGTTGTTCGTAAAGTCAGGAATGTGCGACGAAATTGCGGCGGTGCGATTGGCGTCTTCCCTGGCCGTCCATATCGAGGAAACTGTCGGAAGCCAAGCCTTCTTCAGTGCATTGTGTATGTGCACCGAAACGGACTGTCCGACACAGTGGATCAAGATAGAGTCGAGCAGCTCAATATCCATATACACGCGGTACTTTCCATTGATCGCCTTGCGCATCTGCGCTTTGATCGAACTGTCGCCCCAGGACCACCGCTCAATTGCCGCCAGCTTCAAGTCAATTTTCAAGATGTCGGCAATCTCGCTTAGAACATCTTCTCTGTTGCTGAGGTCGATCATAGCGCGGCGTTTCTCGCTGGTAAGTTGATCGGCGCCGAGGATCGCCTTGATAGCGGCCTTGACGACGGCCACGTTGACCACGATCGGGTCCTTGGCGCCGCGAAATATAGAGCCGCGCATTTTCCCTAGGAGGGCAGGGCGCAAGTCTGCCAGCTCTTCGACAGAGCTGCCGTCTTTTTTGTGACGCGGACCGGAATGAAACAGATCGTCTAGAAACTCGACAATTTTATCCTGGTCACTCGTTCGAAGATTGGTGACCAAGCCTTCCCAGACTTGCCTCTGCTCATGCATTTCCTTGCGCCCGACGGAAACGGAGCCCTCATCTTCCGAGGCGGCGTCTGAATTGCTCGTGCTCTGCTGTGTGGATGTAATAGAGTCTGAAAGCTCGCTGAATCGAAAGCCGGCCCATTCATTTGTGAGTTTCCCAAATAGTATGGTGTATTCCATTCGGCGTTGGGACTGGCGCAGATAAGCAAGCAGCTCCTCGCGCCACGACGAGGCGGCGGATGTAGAGAACCCCGATGAGAATTTGGCGTTGGACAGCATCCGCTCAATAGTGTTCAACCGACTTTCAATCGACTCATGGGCCTTGCCATATCTCATGCTGCCACCTTTGGCTCTGAGGCCAGCGCGGGTGCTGACATCTATGCTGGGCGCTCCAGCATAGGTCTTCCGGACTGCCGTGAGCAGTCTGGCCACGTCTGCTTCGAGATCGTGCTGATCGGAACCAAGACTGCCAGACTTGTCTGCTAGTCTCATTTCCGCGTCATGCACATAACCCTTGATTTCCGCCAACCGAGCCTCCGCCTTGTCCCATTTGTTTGTCGTAACATGCTTCATGGTAGACAGAATTGCTGCCGAAGAGGAAGCGGCGCTAGCCATGGTTTCGGGCGGGCAAGGTCGTTTAGAAGTGATGAGTGGTGGTTGTTGCCCGAATCTCTTTAGCAGCTGCGAAAAGTGCATTCGAGGTTGGCCTGCGTCAATGTTTTACGGGCGTTTTGCATTCTTTATATACAAAGTTTCCCCCGCACCAACTTGATATAATGTAGCAGATGTCAAGAGTCACTCCGTAGCTCCACTAGTATCAACCTCGCGGCGTTGACTCACGCGGTAATGCAATGCCACAGCCTCACTCGTCTTGCATGATGTCACATCGGTGCGACTTTCCGCAAAACCACTAAATTAAGCACCGATTAGGCCTCGCCGGTAGCTTGCAGCTGGTCATCCCTTTTGCGCATTGAACAAGCGACAGCGCCCTACCTATGCTAGAATGATGCCCAGAAATTGGCATATCATATTCCCATGCCTCCATCCCTGCAACTTCCACAGAGGGCGCTGACGGGAATCTGCTTCGCACCAGCAAAGCGGTGTCTTGGAAATTTAGCAAATTGCACATCTTGGGAACAAGGCAATGCGCTGGCACCGAGCGCATGTCGCCTGCATGAGCACGTCTCTGCAACACTCAATCCGTGCAGAGGCAGCATCATAACAGCTAAATTACAGTGCCCGCTAAAGTTGCCGCAGCCTGTCGATCGAGTCGATCGACAATGCTTCAACTCTTCAACTCGCTAGGCTGGCGGGAATCCAGAACATTTCTCCGGTTGTCTACAGCGTGGCAAATCACTGCAAAATCAGGCTACCGCCGTGGATGCTGGCGGGCAAGGGCGAGCACGCTTATCAACTTCTACGCCACTGCGTCGTATAATTACTCCGAGCAGTAACTTACTGACGCAAAACGGATGAGCTAGGCCGCCTGGAGCAAAAGCATTCCGGGGAACTTCTCCACCACCTGCGCCCAGGCTAGTAGCCGAGGCTAACTAGCCGCCCTGGCTGACAGCCTGCTGTAACCATCGCTTTTCATGTTCAACAGCTCTTTTGCCCGCCAAGACATACAAGCCCTCGAAGCAAACACTTCTTTGTTTGTGTGTTGCCGAGGTCTCGCTCATCGGTCTTCTCCGCTGCCCCCGTCTCGTACCAGCCAGTCTCTGTAAACCGCAAAATCAAAGTTCCGCGCACGCGCCGCGCTACCGCAAGTTCGGATTACAGAACGGCCAGGATTTCGCCGACTCGCCCTCCTTGACCACACCGGCATCATGGCCTCATCAGTCTTTGACATCAAGGAGCATGTCATCCCCGGCGAGCATACGCGCGAGTACGCGCGTGCCAAGGCCAATTCGCAGGAAGAGACGCTGGTCATCCACGTGAAGCAGTACACACCCAAAGGCAACGGCGCACCGCAGAAAGGTGATTTGACCATAATCGGCGCGCACGCCAATGGCTTCCCCAAGGTACGGCCAATTCCTTTCAGTCCCAAACAACATCGATGCGCACATCCCGCAATTTTGCAGTCGATTGACTGAGAAAATGAGCAGGAACTATATGAACCGCTGTGGGAAGAGTTGGTGAAGAATCTGACCGCCAAAAGCGTCCGGGTTGGCTCGATCTGGATAGCCGACTGTGCTTGGCAGGGCCAGAGCGGTATTCTGAACCAAGATAAGCTTGGCGATGACCGTGAGTTTGAGTTCTTGATGCACCGTCTGTAAAACACAAGTGGCCAGGGCTAATACGACACGAAAACAGCTTGCTGGTTCGACTACACCAGGGATATGCTCCAGATGATCAACCACTTCCGCATGCCGCGCCCTCTCATCGGCATCGGCCACTCCTTCGGCGCCTGCGCCATCACCAAGCTCTCGCTGTTCCACCCACGCCTCTTCAGCTCCCTCGTGCTCGTGGACCCCGTCATTAGCCTGAGCCACCCGGACGGCGTCAGGTTCTACATGCAGCCCCCGGCCATGAGCGCCAAGCGCCGCGACGTCTGGCCGAGCCGCGACGCCGCCGCCGCAGCCTTCAGGAAGAGCCCGTTCTACCAGAGCTGGGACCCGCGCGTCTTTGACCGGTGGGTGGCGCACGGCCTGACGCAGCGCGACCCCGCCGCGCCCGAGGTCACCCTCGCCACCACCAAGCACCAGGAGGTCTTTACCTTTGCGCGCCCGAGCCACCACGCCCTCGCCGCCGACGGCAAGGGCGTCGCGGACCGCGACCTCGTGCCCGACATGGACCTCGCCAACGGCGTCATGGCGCCCATCTACCGCCCCGAGCCCGGCGGCGTGTTCCAGGAGCTGCCGCAGCTGCGCCCCTGGGTGCTCTGGGTCTTTGGCGGCAACAGCTACATGTCGCTGCCGGCGATGCGCGAGGAAAAGGTGAGTGCGACGGGCACCGGCGTCGGTGGCAACGGCGGCGTCGCGGCGGGCCGCGTCGCGCAGGTCGTCGGCGAGGACTGGGGCCACCTCATCCCCCTCGAGGCGCCCGCGTTCGTCGCCAAGGCCGCGGCGGACAGCGCCGCAGACACTGTGAAGCGCTGGTGGGCAGAGGAGCGCGCGTACGAGGCATGGACGAAGAAGCCGCTTACGGAAAAGTCGCAGATTCGGCAGGAGACCGTCGACGCAATGGCCAAGGTCCTCAAGCCCAAGATGTGAGTGTCGACTTCGCGGGGCGCAGCTTGCGGTACATATTTCTGGTTGTATATAGACATAGAATTCCACGTCTTGGGGCGCGATTAAAGGCGTCGAGCTCTTGGCTCACACAACATTTTTGGTAGTCCAGAGACCAAAATAACACTATACAACGTGACTGTCCACATGACTAAAGTACCAAAGCGTCATACATGACCACAAATACTCTTTCCATTTCCAATCTTGTTTATGCGTAAATGACAGATACTATACTTTCTGTAAATCAATCAACAAATCAAAGTCTCCAAATGAAGAGAGACGCGCTCACGCTCGCATGCGCTAAATGTAAAACATGCTATCTCTGAGATTCTCGTGAATTTCGCGCGACCTGGCAGGTCCGGTGGAACTGGAACCAGACAGTTCGCTCGCATCATCGGGGCCGGCGTACTCGGGTCGGTGGGCGCGAGCTCGCTCGCAAACCAAGTCGGCATAGTATGCAGGCGGACAGATGCTAACAGCCTTGGTGGCTCTGCCAAACAGATAGCAGAGCTCATGAGTTACCTTCTCCAGCGCATTGGCAGCCTCTTGGTGGTATCTCGGGCGGAAAATCTCATCCAGTAACACGGTATAGTGCGCCGGGCGCGCCGTTCCCTTGAGGGCGTCGTGAGCCGTGAGATAGAAGTCCCAGTAGCGGGCTTGGGTCACGCCTCGGTCGACAACGGTGCCGTTCAGCACATTGCCGGATCTGACCTTGTTGCCGTCGGCAGGGTAGAAGCGAGTCTGGTGGCGCTTGACGGAGACGATGACGGTGAGATTCGGCGGGTTTTTGGGCAACTTCTTCTCGCACGCCTTTCGAATCAACGGCAGCTCGTCTTTGAGAACTGTCGAGAACTGGCTTTCCGACACTCCATCGCGATAAATGACAATATTCTCGAGGGTCTTGCCTTTGTTGTTCTTTTGCCAGAGACCAATGCGACTCGCAAAATGACCTTCCAACACATCGCCGAGAATTTCTTGTTTTGACGCCTGCTCCCAAGTGACGGACGGCCATTGCCCAAGCTCGTTATCAACGCTTGAAACTAAGCCAACCAAGCTTGGGGGTCCGTTACCATTCTTGGGAATGTCCATATTGGTAGGATGCGTGACATCGTAGCCCACAAACATAGTTTTTCCTCCCTTCAAGATATCAATGTTGTTGGAAAGCTTGTGGTTCACACCCCCAAATTTGAGATTGACCTTAATTCCGATGTTCGCCAATGTGCCGGGTTGCGCACCGCCCGGCTTCCCCTCACGGGGTGGGGGGTCAACTTGTTTCGAGACAATACAGCTGGTATGAATGCCGTAGATGCAATCGCCAAGAGTCTTGATGCGGTTATATAATCCTCCAGAGTCTTTCATGAACAAAATGAAAATGATGAGTTGCACGCCTTTGTCCTGACATTCTTTGAAAATTCCATCCATTTCATGAACCGGGTCACGACGCTGACCGAGATCCTTGTGATAAGTTGCCGAACCGTTTATTAGAATGCCCATGCTCTGCCAGGCATCGATCATGGCATCGACTTTTGTTGAGTGGATGGGCGTAAAATTCACATACGCCCACTTCTCAATCTTTCGGCAGGGTTTGGAAACGCGAACCTTATTCATGTTCCAGCTTCCATATTCGACCTTGACAGGGCCGCCTTGGTAGCAAACCGCTGGTTGGGCAAGGATCCGAGCATGCACAGCAAGGAGGCTTTTAGAAACAGATACCCCAAGTTGCTGAAGTAGAGGATCATCATGGCCCAACCGCTGGCGACTCTCATTGACGAGAGTTTCGGCGTTAGAAAATGGTGATCGACAGGCAAAATCAAGCATCTCAGTGGTCTCTTTTCCTGTCAGTTTCAATTTCGCTGCTTGGCCTGGGAGGATCTCAACGACTTCAGCGGGAAAGTAAGAGGTGTTATCGCCCCTGCCAAAATTGAAGAGCGGATAGTTCTGCAGCGGTAGACTGTACTTTGATTCGAAATGCTCCTTGACTGTCACATGCCTGTTCTCGTCCGCTTTCCAGAACTCGACGTGTGCCGGGCCGCAGAGCTCCCAGCCAGAGGTGACTTGATCAGCGTTTCTGCCCCTGTTGCTTCGCTTTCTGGACATTTCGGATGCAAATACTAGGCCCTCGATGGTCTTCACACGCTTTACTTCACGACCGCTTGCAGTCTTAAATGTGACTAGAGCCCGCACCTTGCTCAAGCACTTGGAAAATGCTTTCACCGTTTTCAGGTGCCTGTAGTTTTGAGCGTTGTTTTGGAAAGGTTTGATACTCAGCGTTTCAAAGATCTCCGTAGCCCGTCCAGAGAGCCTGAAAACGCCATGCGTTACCTGCGTGTTGAGGAGGAGCCTGCCCGTCGCCAGACGAGTAGATTGGAAGAACCCTCTAGCAGCAAT